TGGAGCGCTACAAGGGTCTGATATACGTTAAACGGCTGGTCGATGTCCATGCGGCGGAGTTGTTGTAGCCAAGGCGCCTTGACGTCCCAGAAGGAGTAGCCCCTAAAAGTGTGCAGAGAAGGAGCGCGGTCACCAAAAAGAGGAGCGTACGGACGGCTGGCCTCCAGGGAATCGATGCCGAAGTCGACGTCGAACATTTCAAGCCTCGGCGCGGGGGTGTACATCCAGTCCCACAACGGCGCGTTATTAAGGCCCCATTCATAATCAGACACGGATATTGCCAGATTACGGACTCTGTGCCAGTTTTCCCTCAGAACCTCGAACAGGCAGCGTGCTATATCCGTCGACACATAGCCGTTCAGGCCGCGGTCGGCTTTGATGTGCAGCGGCGCGCTGCCTGTGCGTCGCAAAAGCTCTGCGATCCATTCCGGTGTCGCACGCGAAACTAATATCTCGTTGAAGTTCAGTATACGGGCCCACAGCCCGGGTGTAGCGAGGAGGAGCGCGCGCCATTCACGGCAAACGTGTGAGGTGTTGCGGGCTTGTTCCAGGACTCGAAATGACTCGTAGTCGGAGAACATGTCGGTGTTGAATTCGAAGATCTGGACCAATGTGTCGCAGTTGAGGCGGTGGATATGCGCCATTTCGTTATTCGGAGCGCTGGCCATGATGGCGGGGAGAGAGTCGACGTTTTAGTTGAATTTTAGTCTCCTGATGAAAATGATGACATCAGGTGACTTGAAGGGCCGGATTTGATTAGCGCTCGATTGGCGCTCGAACAAAGCTCGAAGCCTCGAACGACGCTGGAAGCTGCTTCGAAAACACTTGATTTGGTTATAGAAATTGACCTTCTTACATATAATTTAGGCGCATAAAGCATCCTCATTTCTGTCGGGATAGTTAGATCAGACTTGGCTGAAAGGTTAGATCAGTACTTAGATTGTTTGAAAGGGGGGTTAGGTCAGTACTTTTGGAGCCTGTATGGTTAGTACTTATAAAACCCAGGTTAGGTCAGAGACTTCTGGGGGTATTTACATATTTTCGATTATAGACTCGAAACTTTTAAATTTCCTCTCGAAACGTACCTATTTGACCAGCTATCACCCTACAATTAGGTACCATTTTCAAGTAGACTCGGAATTCATTTCGATCTTGGATAAATCGTGACGTGATTTTACGCGGATTCCATTTCATTTCTGTGTTAAAGAATAACAATTAAATGGATTGAGAAATATTACAGATTTGTACGAAAAGGGCTGCACCAAAAGCACACAGCATAACGCACGTCGACGCTTTTATTTCAGCTACATATACTTCCGGAATACATCTTCTCCGTCGCGCACTGCCACCACACGACCGGTAGCACATCGTGCCTCAACGAATGCGTGAACGGTTGAATGCATGTCGAGGGAATCGGCATACTCGGCGTATTCCTGTCCAGGAAGAATGATAGTCTTGAGCGCCGGGAAGACTTCCGCAGGACCCCCTTCACGCACAGGGAGCCGATCCCGGACTTTGGCGAGAAGCTCGAGCTCTTCCTCGCCCGTGGTGAGAGTCTCAACGGCAGGCAAATGCTCGAGGAATGCTACCAGAGAGTCGACCGGGGTTCCTGCTGGGATGTGGAGAAGCAGGTCGGTGACGGATGCGAAACCAGCGCAAGTGAATGCATCTAGGATTGCACTGGTCGCGTTGCGCGGCATTTCTGCTTCTTGTGCGCAGACAAACATAAGTTTTAAGTTCTGCGTGCTTGATTTCGTGCTGTATTGGAAGCGCAGCGTGGAATAGTCGCTATGAAGCACAAGCAGCGTAGACGCAGCCACATTGAGACTGCGCTTTGCAAAGTCACCGAGCGCTTGAACAGCGGGGATGAATATATGGGGTACCAGCTGATCGACCTTTATATTGGGCGGCAAATACGTGAGAGAGCAGTTCGGAGGTGTGAAGATATGGTTCAAGAGGAAAGGGCAGTGTTCAAACCCCACATTGAGGGTGAGTTGGCTCAGCCTGGAGAGGTGGATAACACCGGTTTCCAAGCCGGCTTCGGCAACGGACAGTACACCGATAAACAGATATTCGAGGTTCTTCGCCGATTTCAAAGCAATGAGAGCCTCAGATGGCGTGCAGGGCAAGTCAAGGTCCAGGCACCGCAGGTTGGGCAGCCATGATGCGTGCAGGTCAATTGGATGGTGGTCGGATGCCATGATTCGGAGTGCAGGAGCGTTACCAGAGAACAGCGGCGCAGAAGGTGGGTGGGACCACAGCACGTCTCCAAAGTAGACGTCGAATTCCTTGAGCTGCGGTGCAGGAGCGTATACCCAACCCCACAGATCGACGTTCTCGATGGTCCATCGGGGTTCCACCGCGCGCAGGACCAGCCGCTCGACTCTATGCCAATTTATCGTGAGGATGGCGAATATGAATCGGGATATGTATGATGAGCTGTCCGCCATGAGGGCGTATCTAGCCTGAATCCACAACGGCGCGCTTCCAGTCCGTCGCAAGAGCTCCGCATACCATTCTGGCGCCGGTCTTCTTCGCCATCTAGGCCAGTCCACATCCAGGAGGCGCGCCCATATCCATGGTGTTTCCAAAAGGAGGGATCTCCAGCAGCGGCAAACTTGAGAGGCACTGCGCGTCGTCTGGAGAGCATCATAATCCTCGAACATGTTGGCATTGATCTCGAAGATATGCAAGAGCAGGTCGCAGTTGAGGCGGTAGATGTGCGTCCTTTCATTGCTTGATATGTTTTCCATGTCGGCGAGAGTTGTGAGACGATTGTGAATTGAATATCTTGAGCTCAAGTTGAATTGGAGAGCCGTCGCGGAATAGTTTCAAAAAGCGGCGCGCTTTGGCCCTACTAGTAGTGACGTAATCTGCAGCCGCCCGGCAATTGCTTGCCGAATCCCGATGTTTGACGATCCATTCACTGTACTCCAGGTTTGTATGAGGCATATTCTCCAAATATGTCACAAAGGACGTCAAATCGTTATAATAAATGTAGAACCAAGCGCTACGGCAGTGCTACGGTTAAGTACCCGTTGAGGTAAATATGTACACGTCAATTACTTATTTATTTCGGCGTGATTTTATGCGGACTGCATTTGATTTCTATGTTCTTCAAGAATGAGAATTACTAGATGAATTTTTCCATATTACAGACTTGGAAGCAAAATTTACACCAAAAACACGCAGCAAAACCTACGGCGACGGCTATTTCACATATAATCGCGGAATACATCTTCTCCGTCGCGCCCTGTGCGCACTGTAACCACATTCCCGGCAGCGCGTCGTGCTTCAACAAATGCCCCAACGGATGAATGCGTGTCGAGGGAAGAATATGCGGCGTATTCCTGTCCAGAAAGGATGATGGTCTTGAGAGCGGGAAAGACTTCCGTAGGGCCCCCTTCACGCAGGGGGAGGCGATTCTGGACTTTGACGAGAAGCCTGAGCTCGCCCTGGCCCGTGGTGAGAGTTTCAACGGCAGACAGATTCTCTAGGAATGCCATCAAAGACTCGTCCGGGGCCATTCCTAATGGTATGCGGAAAATCAGGTCCGTGACGGATGTGAATCCAACGCAAGTAAATGCATCGATAATTATACTGGTCGTGGCGTACGGCAAAAGTGATGATCGCGGGGAGATAAGCCCGAGCCTGAATGTCGGTGTGCCTAGCTTCGTGCCGTAACGGAAGTGGAGTGTATAATAGTCGCTGTAAAATCCAAGATGCGTAGGGGCGGCTACATTGAGAGTGCGTTTTGCAAAGTCACCGAGCGCACGAACAGCGGGGACTAATATATGGGGTGCTAGGTGATCTTCTTCTATATTGGGCGGCCAATACATGAAAGAGCAGTCCAGAGCTGTATAGATATGGCTCAGGAGGAAAGGGCAGTGTTCCAAGCCCGTTATGAGGGTGAGTTCGCGCAGCTTGGAGAGGTGGGCGACACCGGGCTCTGAATCGGCTTCAGGGGTGGACAGTAAACCGAGAGTTAGACATTCAAGGTTCTTCGTCGATTGCAGAGCAATAACAGCCTCAGCCGGGGTACATGGCGCGTCGATGTCCAGGCACCGAAGGTTGGGCAACCACGATGCGTGAAGGTCTATTGGATGGTGGTCGGATACCAGGCTTCGGAGTGCGGGGGCGTTGTCAGCAAACAGCGGCACAGAAGATGGGTGAGGCGTCAACGCGCTTCCGAAGTAGACGTCGAACACCTTGAGCTGCGGTGCGGGAGTGTATACCCAACCCCACAGATCGGCGTTTTGGACACTCCATCGGGGTACCTCCACGCGTAGGACCAGCCGCTCGACTCTGTACCAGTTGTTTGTGAGGATGGCGAATATAAACCGGGATATGTGCGAAGGGCTTTCCGCCACCAGGGCATTTCTAGCATTGATCCACAACGGTGCGCTGCCAGTCCTTCGTAAGAGCTCCGCAAGCCATTCCGGCGCCGGCCACCTGCGGCGAGGCCAGCCCATGTCCAGGAGGCGCGCCCATATCCAGGGTGTCTCTAGTAGGAGGGATCTCCATCCGCGGCAAACCTGAGAGGCACGGCGGGTCGTTCGGAGAGCATCACAATCCCCGAACATGTTGGCATTGATTTCGAAGATATGCAAGAGCAGGTCGCAGTTAAGGCGGTAGATGTGCGTCCTTTCATTGCTTGATACGTTTTCCATGTCGGCGAGAGTCGTGATACGATCCTGCATTGAATATCTTGAACTCAAGTTGAACTGTTGAACGTTGAACGTTGAGCCGTCACGGAATAGTTTCAAGTAAGTTTCGAAAGCCGCGGCGCGTTTTGGCCCTTGGCTGCAGTAGTGACGTAATCTGCAAGACAACGTGTGCGCGTGAATTCCTTCGGCCATTGATCTGCTCCTGGTTTGTATGTACTATAGTCTGATATCTATGAGGCACGTTCTCCAAGTCTGTCGCAAAGGACGTCGAATCGTTATAAAAATGTAGAACAAGGTGCTACGGCAATGGAGGTTTATGGGCCCCAAAAAATATGACCGAGACAGGGGTCGAACCTGCAATCTCCTGATTCGTAGTCAGACGCGATGCCATTTCGCCACACGGCCATGCAGATTACGTGGGAACCCAACGGCGTGGCGGGCCGCGGCAAACCCTTGCTGCGCGTCCGTGCATTTTTCGACAATCCTCTGGCGGTGCTGGACGACTTTCGGTATTGTGCAATATCGATGCCACCGCGCGAGACTCCTGGCCACATTTCAAGCCTACGCCGGCCTCCCAGTAATTTCGTACCCACTGCGTGCCCTGGCATCACATCACGGACCCAGCAAGTTCAACTCTCATTTCTATGCACGAAACACGCCAGCGGCTAGGATTCCAACGTCAAAACGTCGAGCAGTGGCAAATGTCCCACTCCCGATTAACGCGGTAACATCCCGACGTCGGCATGCGCTATCTCTGATGATGTTCTCCATCGCACGTCTCCACCTGTCGTTGAACACTCCAAGAACACTCGTCAAAATAAATTCCTCGCCGGTGACATGTACTGTCAAACACGTTTACAACGATATAGTATGTTGGTTGTTCCATATTTCTCCACAACCCCGTCTTCGCTTGCATGAAATAACCAGCTCCCTTTTTCACAGGTGCAGAGACTTTCGGAAGGCTCCGCGTGTGTTGCAAGTGTATCCCAGCGGCCAATCCTGCCTGGATTACTATATCCCTACCAGCCGTACTTCCAATCAGCTCGAGGCTGCCGTCCGACCAACCTCCGACTCCGAAAACGTGCACCATCGCCGCTTGCATCACCCGCTTGTCTGAATATGCAACACTCTCCCCCTCTATGACCGGAGAATACATCGGCTGGAGTAATGTTTTAAGGGATATATAAGGACGCCCAGATCTGTTGGCGAGGTCAGTTATTTTCATGTTGCGCGTGGACGGTGTCACAGGCTAACTCGGCTGGCGAAGAGGAAAAGCTCGAGCGTACTCGCGGTATGCGGCGCAGTGTATGAATTAGATTCAACCTGACGCACTGCCAATGACTGATGGAGTCTGTACTCGACCGTCTCCGGACGACCCTTCCATCAGGCACAGCGCAAACAATATTCAAAAAATACTGAACCTTCAACGAATTTAAGCTGCCGTCACCCTGGTGCCGTTTTCCATACAAATGTGCTCATGACTGATCCTGAAGTCAAGGAATGGCTCAAATAAGTCTACGCTTCGATTCCATCACACATGTCAGAATCGCCGACGCTTGCGGATACACTCTGTCCTGAATCCTGATCTTTACCATCTTCGTTAAACGCCCTATCTACCAGCTCTGTCCGGCCTTGGTCTAGCCACTACGATGTCGGTACCGCCACTGCAGCCAAACGATGTTCGTCGGAGCGGGTCGGTGTGGCACAGCCTCCAGTATGATCTGCTACATTACATCGTCGACATGAACGCCGATATGTTCTCCGATGGGACAGCGCTGGAAACTACTCGTCGCACAGCGCAGGTATGCCGCACATGGCGCGAAATGATGCTCAATACTCCAGCACTCTGGGCGAATCTCATCGACCTCGATAAACTGCGCCTTGCGTCAAACGAATGGCGCGTTGAAGTCCTACGGCGGAGCGGCGATGCCCTCCTTTCATTGAAGGCGGAGTTTGCGATTGCGGCCGCCCCATCCCCCATCAGCCAGTTTTTTTTCAACATCCTTGACAGCAGGTGGGACAGGATCCAACGTTTATACGTCAGAAGCGTCGTCTGCAGCTCAGAACTCTCAGATTGGGCGCCGTTGTTCCGCCCAGCCCCACATCTCAAATCTTGCGTACTCCACTTCGGCACCCCAAAAGTAATCAGACACCTAGAGGGGCAAGCACCCGGCCCCTTGTTGGCGAGCAACGCGCCTATGCTTCGTGAACTCAATGCATGGCACTTCAAATTCGACATACACGCGCCGTGGATGTATAACCTGCGCGCCCTGCACATAGGCAGCCCGTTCACGCTCTGCGAGATTCTGACTGCCCTCGGAAAGGCACCGAACCTTCGATACCTGTACGTGAACGATATCTCCGACCTGAGCTCGCAGTCGCCACTACATGTCGTTTCTCTCCCGAGCCTTTGCCGGCTCACGCTGTCAGTCCGCATCAGGGCATGTATCTGCGTACTCGACTATCTAGACCTTTCATCCTCCTGCGCATTGGAATATAGCCCGCCAAAAATCCGCCGCGCGCAAGAGATCGAAAAAGACACTTTCTGTCTTTCCATTAACGCAATCTCAAAATTCGCCGCCCGCCATTTTCAAAAGTGTTCACCTCAATACGTTTCACTTTGCCACGACCACAATTCTATCTTATTTCGTGCCGGACGCTACCCCAACGACATTACATTCACCTTCCATTTATCCTCCGCTCCGCACATAAATCTACCAACATACGCCACATCTACGCTACTCCACGCGCTTACGCTCCGCGAGTTCGCACATGCGACGAAATTACAGCTTCGCATACACGATCTGTTTCCTTCTGAAGCATTCGCACCATTTCTTGTCTATTTCGATGCCGTAGAAAAGGTGGAAATAAACGAGCGAGCCATTACGCACCTCATCGAAGCGAGCAGCGCTCTTGGTCTCCCGGAAGACAAGGAGCGTCGCACCTTGTTCCCCGTCCTCAAAGCCCTCAAAATCACCGAGCTTTCCAGTCTGTACGTACGCTGCAACACAGGCGTGATGATGCGCTTTGTGCGGACACGCCGCGACGCAGGGCTCCCGCTGGCCGTGCTTGACCTGGCGCAATATGAACCCAATGGCGCCCCCGAAAATATTGCATCTATAGAGAGGGATGGCTTGACAGTGCAATGGACCAGGCAAGAGGACGGAGATAATTTGGAGGAATGGTTTGGGCAGGAACTTTAGGCAGCGCGTATGCAGCGCGCGTATGTAGTGTTGGAACTTGGTGCGCCTGTTTAAACTGTACTTCCTGAAACTCGGAATTCAAAGCTGGTCGGGACGGCCCTGGTCGTGAATACACCTGCCACTTGCCTGCCATTGCGGGAGAGTTTTGTTGGATAATGAATTCATTCAGCGGTGTGAGGCTGTGAATTTACATGTAAATAAAATACATTTTATGGTGACACTTGATACTTATACCCATCCAAAGACTCAGGAGACGATGGCAAGGACTCAGGAAGACGAAGACCCAGCACGGATCGAAAACAAATACTTATTGGGACGAAGGTACCCTGCTATGTATTTGGCCCTGTAGTTGCCATGACAACAACCTCGACTGTCAAATGCAGAGAAACAGTGAACAAAGAAAATCTGCCACCGTTTGATTGTAATCACACACTCCTTGACCGCACCGCACCTTTGTCCCCCAGCGCGCACTCTATAAAATTAGGCTCATCGCCTTCAATTGGCCTCCACTGTATTTTTTAACAAGTCTCCTGACTGTCCTTGGCCGAACCTTGCTCGAAAACCACGCGTTACAGGTCAGGTTTCCGTCTCGACTATTGATAGGGCTCGGAGGCTGATGTTTTCTCTGTCACACTTTTTTTGTATATGCTAGACTTTCCTCCCGAGATCCATCAGCAAATTCAGATTCACCGACGATGGATACGAGTCCTATTCATCGGCTTGGTCATGACCTACTTCTGGAAATCTTCGAGTACAACGCCGACATGTTTGTGGACCCAACAGCTTTAGATACGAGCCTCAAAGCTACTCAAGTGTGCTTATCCTGGCGAGCGCTCATGCTGGAGACACCGTGGATTTGGGGCCGTCTAATCGACATCGACTATATCTGTCGAATTCACGCCTCGGACCAGTGGTTCGATGAACTCGTGGCACGGGCGGGAAGCGCAATGCTTTGGATCAAAATGCTCGAGGGACTTGGTAGGAATATTGCTGCTGATAAGGTCGATCGATTCCTCTTCGGTCTTCTGGAGAAATCCTGGTCGAGAGTTCAACGACTTTGTGTGGCAGTCGATGCATCCACGTTGGATCCATATTCGTCACCGCGATGGCGCTGGCTGTACCTCCCAGCGCCGTATCTCGAGATACTGGACATCGAATTTGGAAATGATTTCCCAATACCGGATTCCTCTCTCCCCCTGCTATTTTCAGGCCAGGCCCCTGCTCTGCAACAGTTCAAGGCTCAGTTTTGGCCATTTGATACCCACGTTCCGTGGACATCTGGCCTCCTCTCCTTGTTCGTAGGCGCCCCTCTTACCCTCCCTCAATTGATGGCTGTTCTTCAAAAAAGCTCCGGACTCAAGATGCTGAACATCGGTGACATCGCGGATCCTGTGACACTCCCCGTACATCTTCCGTTGATTCCCCTTCGCAAAATGCAATGTCTCGGGATCATAGGGAATATGAGTTTTATAACATGCGCCCATATTCTTGAGCATATTGATACATTAGCAGACTGCTCGTTGATGTACTACCCCGTTGGGATGAACAGATCGACAAGAACCTTTTCTGACGACGACTTCGCCCGCGTAGTGCGTGCCCTCGCTACATTCGCGCGCCGCTTCTTCAGTATATCTCAGCCCGAGCAAATCTCCTTGTACAGTCGACGCAACGATATTACATTCATGGACAACAGAACCGTGGCCTTGTCTGGATATACCATAATGCTTCCCTGCAACTATGAAAATTTCCAGCTCCCGATTTCGTCACAAACAGCAGGCACTTTCTTCACCACATTTTCACTTCCCGAGTTCTCCACAGTCACAGCGTTGCGTATCCGGTTCCCTCCACATGTCCCACTTTCAGCACTAGCCACATTCTTTGCTTGTCTCCCCGCCGTTGAAGAGTTGACCACAGACGATGTGGGCATTGCGTGCATTCTAGGAGCTCAAAATTCGATGACAACTCCTGAAGGCAGCCCGTTGGTGATATTTCCGAAACTGAAGACGATCCATCTTGCCGAAGACGAATCCCCCGCACTCGGGCCGACAAGTGTAGCATCTTCCGAATCCGTACACGCCTTTGTCGCGGCGCGCCGCGAGGCTGGTAAGTCGGTGGAGGTTTGCAAATTTGTCGGGGAGGAGCATAGATGGGGCAGAAACATAATATGAGAAATGTAAACTGTTTAACTTCGTTTCACTGATA